GTATGTTGTATTGGCATTTTCATTTATTTGTAAAAACTGTCTGATTTCTTCTTTAATTTCCTCTGTGATCCATTGATTGTTCAGGAGAGTGTTGTTCAATTTCCATGTGTTTGTGAAGTTCATATGGTTTCCTATGCTATTGATCTCCAGGTTTATTGCACTGTGATCTGATAATATACAGGGAATAACTTCAATTCTTCTGCATTTATTCAAACCTGTTCTGTGAGCTAATATGTGATCTGTCTTGAAGAATGACCCATGTGCAGCTGAAAATAATGTATATTCTGATTTTGTGGGGTGGAACACTCTACAGATGTCTAATAAGTCCATGCGTTCAAAAGCTTGGTTCAGTTCTAGTATTTCATGGTTGATTTTTTGCCTAGATGATCAGTCTATTTGTGATAGTGGGGTATTTAGATCCCCCACTACAATTGTATTAGTACTTATTTGGTTTTTCATGTCACTTAATATTTGTTTTATATAGTTGGGGGCATTTATATTTGGTGCATATATGTTTATGATTGTCATTTCTTCCTCTTGAATTTTTCCCTTTACAAGGATGTAGTGGCCTTCTTTGTCTCTCTTAATCAGTTTTTGTTTGAAATTTACTTTGTCTGCGAATAAGATTGCTACCCCTGCTTTTTTCTGGACTCCTGTCGCATGGAGAATTGTTTTCCATCCTTTCACTTTCAGTTTATGGGCTTCTTTTTGCACTAGGTGTGTTTCTTGTATACAACATATTGTTGGATTTTGCTTCTTAATCCATTCTGCCACTCTATTTCTCATGATTGGTGAGTTGAGGCCATTGACATTGATGGTTGTAACTGATATGTATTGACTTATTATTGTCATGTTATTGTCCTTTTGTTAACTTTTTAATTTTTTGCCATCTCCTTTTAGTTTCTTGCCTTGGCTATTTGATTTGCTCTGTTGGGCCTCATGGTGTTGTGATCTTCATTGTCTTTTTCTAGGATATTGTTTAAAATTTCTGGATAAGTATTCATGAAGTTTATCAAGTGTTCTTTGTCATGGCAGTATCTTATTTCTCCATCCATTTTGAAAGAGAGTTTTGCAGGATACATCAGTCTAGGTTGGAGGTTGTTTTCTTTTAGGACTTGAAGTACCTCACTCCAGGCTGTCCTTGACCTGAGGGTTTGTGTTGAAAAGTCTGTTGTGATTCTGATGGGCTTTCCTTTGCATGTGATTTGTTTCTTTTCTCTTCCTGCTTGTAGTATTTTGTTCTTCTGTTGGGTTTCTGGGATCTTGATTATTATATGTCTAGGTGTAGATTTTTTATTTTTATTTTATTTTTTTTTTAATCATGGCTAGTTGGAGTCCTATATGCCTCACTTATCTGTATGTCAGATTCTTCCCGTTTGGGAAGTTTTCTGTCATTAATTCTGTGAACAGCTTTTTAAAGTCATTTGCAGTTTCTCCTGCTACTTCATGGATTCCTATCAGTCCTATGATATTCTTCCTTGCATCGTCTAGGAGTTGTTGGATCGATTTCTCATGATCCCTGACTGTTTTTAAGAGACCTCTCTTTTCACGGTCACTGTCTGCAGATCCTATCTTCTATATCTGAGATTCTATCTTTGCAGTCTTTTATTCTGTTGTGTACGTACACTTTCAATGGAGTGTTTAATTTCCTGGATATCTGTTTGAATCTGTTTAATGGATTCCATTTCTTTCCTATGTTGGGCATTCATTGTTTCCATTTCTTTCTTATTCTGGGCCTTCATGGCTTCTATCATGGTCCTGAGCTCATCTATTTTTTTGTCAGTTTCTCTTCTAGAGTCACGAATCATGTCTTTCCTTTTGCTCACCATCTCTATGGTTATCTGGGAAATTATTTCTGTTTTCAATTTTTCTAGAGCTTTATTGATCAGTTTTGTTACTTCCTGTGCTGTCAGTTCTCAGTGTCTTGGTGGTTCACTATCAGACTTTTCATCCTCCTTTGCCCTACTGTTTGCCTTTGGTGAACTGGAAATCTGTCTTTGTGGCTCGATTAAGTGTTTTCTCATCTTTATTTTTGCTGTTGGGTTGTCCTTGATTCAATCTCTGGGTCATTAAGTCTTGCTGTGTCCCAGCCTTTGATTCTCTAATGACTCATAGACATTCTCATTTTTATAATAGAGAAAACAACTGGTCAAATCAATCCCTATCCTTTATCCCAATTGATACAATCAGGAACACATAGGATCAGTCACCACCCTTTATAGCCCACCATGCCTCTGCAGTGTGCATCAAAGGCCTGCCACAATCAGGGGATCTGGGGGGGGGGGTGCCTGCACAGCTACCCTCCTGGTTCTTGATGAGGAGCAGTGATACCCTCAGGAAAAGGCGCGGCTCCGTGGACCCGTAGATTGGGCCCTGGGCGGCGAAGGGGATCTCAAGTCCAAGCCAGCCGCTTTCCCGAAACTCACCCTCTTGGCGCTGGGTCAGGAGAAATCTTCTAACTTCATTTTGTCCTCTTCCCTCCTATTCATGCTCCAGATACTGTGATCTCCTTTTGGTTCCATGTGGAGTTTTTCCGTGCCTTTACATTTGCTCTTCCCCTAACTAGCTTTTACGTGTCTGTAGACATGTTTTAATGTCACTTCCTCAGAGAGGCTGTCCCTGACCACCCCATCTAAAGTAGCTTCCCCCAGATCCAGTCATTCCATCTTGTTAGCCTCTCTCTCTCCTTCATAACATTCATCACTTTCAGAGAAGATCTTGTTTGCCTGACATGGGGGCACATACCTGTAGTCCCAGCACCCAGGGATTTTGAGACCAACCAGCCTGAACTACGCAACAAGACCCCACCTCAAAGGGGAAAAAAAAAAAAGATCTTGTTTTAGCCAGGTATGATGGCGAATACCCAACAAAAATCTTGTTTGTGGTACTGCACCTACCTGGTAAGCCACGAAGTCATGAGTTCAATCCCCAGTATCCCAGTTGCAGGGTAGAGCAAGGGATCTTGTCTGTGTCTTTTAATCACAAACTGCTGGTCAGTGCCCTCTCAGTGTTGTAAATTCCATGGGGTTTCATTCTTGTTTGCTTCAGCATATGGTATATTCAAAGCACTCAGTAATTATTTGATGACTGGTGTGATCTTTTATCTTTTTTTCATGATCTTTTATCTCCTTGTGGGGAAGGAGGGTGTTGGGATCAAGCCCATGGGCTTTGCACATGCTGCATAAGCATTTTTTCCCCCTTGTCTCACCATTCCCTGGCCCACCTTTCATTCCGCATATACCAAATTGCGTATCAACTCAAGACCATATTATTGGGTCAGGGATTTAGCTCAGTTGTTACAGTGCCTGCTTCGCAAATGCAAGGACTCGAGTTTGATCCCCAGTACCAAAAAAAATAGACCGTATTATCACATTGCTTTTATACTTTTGTTTAAGCAGCTGTCCTTTCCCCCGTGTTATTCTTGCCCACGTCTGCCTGACAAACACCTGTTTATCTTGTGCTCATTGAAGCTTTTTTGAACCTCCTCCCCTTTGGTAGAATTGAGCACTTCCTCCCTCACAGCACCTATAACGCTTGCCTGCCGATAAGGGCTTATAACCTCTCTTCCTACTAACTCGTACTTGGGCTCCTGTGGCACAAGGTTCTCAGTGGCTCAAATAGTTAAGTGCTTTATATGTGTGAGGTGCTAGGAATAGGACAGTATATAAGAACAAGGTCAGCCTCAGGGATTTGTACGAGAGAGAGGAGATTGGCAGTTTTAAAGTAAAATGACATAAAGCCCTGATTTTTTTTTTTTTTTTTTTTTTGAGAGTGACAAAAAGGGGTAACATGATGGCATGACCAGATTCCATGGGGGGAACTACTTTAGAGTGAGTGGCTGTGGAGGCCTCTCAGAGGAAGTGACATTAGAACAAGTGTCTCATTTGTCTTCAAGATGGAGCACTTAGCTTACACCCAACCTTTGTTTAAAAATATTTAGGGGCTGGGGTTTAGCTCAGTGGTTCTGCCACCAGCCTTGCAAGTGCAAGGTCTTGAGTTTGATCCCCGGTACCAAATAAAAAGCAGGACATGGTCGCACACACCTGTAATCCCAGCACTTAGGAGGCCGAAGTAGGAGGATCACCACAAGTTTGAGACCAGTCTTGGCTACATAGTTCAAGGCTAGCCTGGACTGCCTAACAAGAGCCTGCTATAAAATATATAGAGTTTTTGTTTTTGTTTTTTTAATTCTGCCAATATCACATTTTCTAGAGCTTAGAAAAGTTGATTGTCCTGGCTTGACTAAAAGAAAAAGTAATAGGGCCGTGTGTGGTCGCACACACCTGTAATCCCAGCACTCGGGAGGCTGAGGCAGGAGGATTGCTGCGAGTTTGAGAATAGCCTGGGGTACGTAGTGAGTTCCAGGTCAGTCTCAACTACATAGTGAGACCCTTTCTCTAAAAACCATAAAGAAAAAAGAAAAAGTAATAAAGCCAGGATTTGAAATCTGCTTCCGTGGTCCATGCTTTTTTCCCTACTGTCTTCGGTTCTTTAGTGTTTTGGTGGCTACATCAGAAATTGCTCTTTAAAAAGGAAAAGTAGAGGGTTAGGGATGTAGCCCAGAGATAACGTTTGCCTTGCAGGTGTGAGGTTTGTTTGTTGTTGTTGTTTTCTGGAGGGGCGGTGTTAATGGTACTGGAGACTGAACCCACAGTCTTAATCTGAGCCATATCCCCAGCCTGTTTTTTATCTTTTTATTTTGAGACAGGGTCTTACTATGTCACTAAATTGCCCGGGCTGGGTTTAAGCTTGAGATCCTCCTGCCTCAGGCTTCCTTGGTGCTGGGATTACAGGCATGCACCACCTGTGCCTGGTAGTGATAATTCTTAATTTTTATATGTATAACATCGTTTTTTTAATGTTTACCTATAAAATTTAGTAACATTCATGAGAATCAAGTCCTGTAATTTGGCACATTTTCTTCAGCTAATTGTGTTTTGCAGTAAATAAGAAAGTTAGAACCCTGCTTTGCTTTTAATCTCCCAAATTTTTTCTCACAGGGCTATGGCATTTCCTCTGTGCCCTCTACTTCCAATTCTAAACCCATCAAGGAGAACAGTAATGCTGCCATCATCAAGAGGTTTAACCATCATAGTGCTATGGTCCTGGCAGCAGGTCTCAGGAAACAGTTAAGTATACATGAAAGGGTGCCATCTCAGGCTCCTCTGCTATCCGCGTGGATTTAGGTGGTCTAGCTTGCTTGCGGTTTTTAACATTAATTTTCCCCCCTTTATTTTCAGAGAAGTACAAAATGAACCAAATGGCGAGCCCAGCCGCATGGATGGAAGTTCTGGAGATGCAGACTGCTTTCAGCCGGCAGTCAAAAGGGTATGGACCGTTTAGGGCTTGGGTTTTCCAGATTTAAGATAGCCGTGAGTACTTTAGATTGCTTAGTGGGAGTATCTGGCTGCAAATGTAGAGTGTTACAAAGCTCCTCAGCTTTAGTTTAGCCAAGTTTGCATGGATTTAAATCTATTGACTTTTTATTCATTGTTTTTGTTTTTTGTTTTTTTCCCCTTCACATATATTCACACAAACTATTTTTTTTGTATGGTTTTGTTTGCTGGGAAAAAGTATTCGACAAAGATGTTAAAAACAAAGGCCAGGGATTTAGCTCAGTGGCACCACACCTGCCTCACAAGTGGAATGCCCTGAGTTTGATCCCCAGTACCACAAAAAAAAAATTTTTTTTTTTCATGTATATGATTTAAAAAGAAAATGAATTTGCCTTCCTGTTAAACATAGTGTTTCAGACCTGGATGTATTGTCTCATTAAATATTTTTAAAAATAATATGGGACTGCTGGGCATGGTGGCGCATGCCTGTAATCCCAGCACTTGGGAGGCTGAGGCAGGAGGATCACTCTGAGTTCGAGACCAGACTGGGCTACATAGTGAGTTCCAGGTCAGTCTCAATTACATAGTGAGACTCTCTCAAAAAACCAAAACAAACAAAAAAATAATATGGGACTATCAGGCTACTTGCATATTTCTGCAAATTTGCTAAGATATTCTAACCCCTCTAATAGTTAAGACCCTTCCTCCCAACGTATAAAAATAATGAGCTGAGCAGGGTGGTATACACCTATAATCCCAGTTACTCAGAAGACTGAGGCAGAATGGCTGCCTATTTGAGGCTAACCTGGGCAGCTTGCAAGACCCTATCTCAAGATTTACACTCATTAAAAAAAAAAACAATTTACACTCATACTTCCATTTCTGTTTTTGTGGTATCACAACTCAAACTCAGGACCTTGCACTTGTCAGGCTGGCGTGGTGCTACTGAGCTAAATTCCCCAGCTTAATTCCACTCTGCAGGGATCTACTTCTGGTCATTTGCTTTAAGAAGCAAAAGTGTGTGCAAAGATTTAAATACAAGTATTCATTATAGTATGAAAAGCAACAGTAGCAAACTTCCTAGTAACTGTGATGTGTCCTACAGTGGAGATCTGATGCAGCTGTTCATTACTTTAAATGATTAGCCTGGGGTGTAGCTACTGGCAGAACACTTGTCTAGTATACAGGAGACTCTGGATTCTATCCCTCACACCAAAAAATTTAATATGAAATAAGAGCTCGTGACATAAAATGGTCCCCAGCTTAAAACTTTAGTTTTACCATGGATTTATTAGGATTGATTTATTGATTTATTTATTTATTTATTTATTTATTAAATAATTGCATGTTCAGCTCATGATATTTTCAGCTGCAGAGGGTTTTGTCAGGATATGACTTCATTTAAAGTTGATGGGCCAGGGAATTAGCTCAGTGGTTCTGCTGCCTGCCTTCGAGTGCAAGGACCCAAGTTCAATCCCTGATACCAACAAAACAAAAAAGTTGAGGAACAGCCCAGTATAGTGACCCCTTTCTGCAACCCCAGCTGCTCAAGAGGCTGAGGCAGGAAAATCATGAGTTTGAGGCCAGCCATAGCAACATAATGAGATGCTGTCTCAAAAAAACAAATAGCTGGGTAAGGTAGCTTACTCCTGTAATCCCAGCACTCTGAGAAGCTAAGACAGAATCACAAGTTCAAGCCAAGCCTGGGCAACTTTCTGAAAAAAACTTTGTTTCTCTGTTGATTTTCCTAATACACAATAATAAGCACTGGCTATAAATATTCCCCCAAGTCAGTGGTTGACTGCTGCGTAGGAATGGAAATTAATAGCTGGGGTGGGCTGTGGAGCACAGTGGTGGAGCCTATAACCTAGTAAGCACAGTGCCCTGAGTTCAATCCCCAGCAGTGTAAGAAAAAAACAAAAAGGCATAAAGATGTATCAGTATGCCTTAAAGTTGGCTCAAGGATATAAATTGATTTTGGTTTTTTTGTTTGTTTTTGTTTGTTTGTTTGTTTGTTTTGGAGTATCAGTGATTGAACTCAGGACCCTGTGCTTGCAAGGCAGGCAGTGGATACACTGAGCTAAATCCCTGGCCCTGAGGGGTATTAAATTGAGAAAATAGTAAAAATATGAGGTCAAGTCTAGGTAAAACACTGTTAAAACAGGAACAGTTTAAATGTTAAGTTTTCAATTGACATTTTTGAGATACATTTCATAACCTGAATGTTCTGATTCTATGCTGGGTAGCTACAGGTGAAAGTTGGCCAGATGAAATGCATAGCACCACCATGCCTGGCTATATGATATACAAATCTTTGTGCACCATATTGACAAAAATTAAGAATTTAGTAATCAAATGGTCAGAAAATAGGTACTTTATGCCTAAGTGTTGATGAGAAAATAAGTTCAACCGTTTATTTATGGAGCAGTCATCTCTAGGAAGTAAAGCTCATAATGGGGAAATTTCCATTTTTTACCAAACCACTATATGGTTTTACTTTTTCAGACATCTTTGTTAACCTGTATATGAAAAAGTTACTGGGCCAGGGACTTAGCTCATTGGTTCTGCTGCCTGCCTCGCAGGCGCAAGGTCCCAAGTTCAATTCGTGGTACCAAAAAAAAGAAAAAGAAAAAGTCACTGACAAAAAATACTCTGATAATAATTACAGGCAAAGTTACAAGAGTCCATTGAATATGAAGACTTGGGAAAAAATAATTCCATAAAAACGATTGCACTAAACCTCAAGAAGTCGGATAGGTAAGTTTGGTCAATGGTAAATAAATTTGAAACAGAACAGTTATGTTATGAGTCACTGCAGAATATAATCTGCAAGTACAGCATTCATTTTTTTTAGTCAGTTTATCACCATGAAAGTACAATATTCCTTTCTCTTTAAAAAAATTTACTTTTGGGTGTGGTGGCTCATGCCTGTAACCCCTGCCCTCCAGAGGCTGAGACAGAAGAATTGAAGTTAGTTCAAGGCCAACCTAGGCTACCTAGTGAGTTTGAGACCAGCCTGGGGCCGGGGATTTAGCTCAGTGGTTCTGCTGCCTGCCTTCGCAAGCACAAGGTCCCAAGTTCAATCCCCATACCAAAAAAAAACAACAACAACAACAACAACAACAACAAACAAACCAGCCTGGACTACATAGCAAGGCCCTGTCTCAAAAAAAAAAAAAAAATTATTTTACTTTTATGCATCTCAGGAAAGCCTCAAATACTAATTTTGCATCATTGTATTGTTTCTTGCTTCTCTTATGAGGTTTTATTGAAATAGCTGTGGTATCTTTTTTTTTTTTTTTTTTTTTTTTTTTTTTTGCTTTGCTTTGAGGAAAAATGTATTGACCACTAAAATCCTGGAAAGACAGATATTGAGTACTTTCACCATCTGTGATTGGTTACTTGTCCTGTGCTACATTTCAGGTATTACCATGGTCCTACTCCAATTCAATCAGTACAATATGCAACAAGTCAGGACATTATTAATTCTTTTCAAAGTATTAAACAAGAAATGGAAACTTATACACCCAAGTTAACTCAGGTAGGTAACTTCTGTGTAAAGACCAGACTTCCTTGGGCCGGGGATTTAGCTCAGTAGAATTCCTTTACTGTAGTTCCTTCCCTAATTTATGAGCACAACCAGATTGAATTGTACAGCTGTTGGATTTAAAGACAGTATACTGGGCCGGAGATTTAGCTTAGTGGTTCTGCCATCTGCCTCACCAAGCACAAGGACCCGAGTTTGATCCCTGATACCAAAAATAAAGAAAGACAGTATATACTGCTAAATAAATTTTTTAACAAGATGTAGGGCGAAAACGTGCTTGGTATATTCAAGAAGCAAGACGCATCTGAATGTAATGAATAGTAATTTGATTCCAGGGGTTTCACTTCAGAATGCTCACTCCTCCTGGGAAAGTCTCTCTAATTGCCAAACTGATTAAGGCCATTACTCTGGTGCTCTGCATAAGCTCAAACTCAGAATATGTGAGGTGGAGCTCGTTATAGCTTCATTTTTCTCACCCTTCACATTTCAGTTCAACAAATTCTGTCAGTTCTTCTTTAAATATTTCTTGACCCCATCAGCTTAGTTTAGGCAAACCTGATAAGCTTTCCATAACATCACTGCAAGTTACTTCTAAAAGCATGTATTTGATCTCATCACTTGACAGTTTAAAATCCTTTTATTGCCTCCCTTCATTTCCATAGAAATAGTCCAAACACCTTGTCTGTGTGCTAGACCAGCTTCATATCTAGTATTTTTTAATCAGACTCATATATACATAGATTTCTATCATAAACTCTCCATTGGAAAATAGATGTACCGTCCCACAAGTGTTCCACTATTGATTTATCCCTCCTATAACCACAGTATCTAGCACTTGTTAGGCACTCATGGAATGGATAAATTATGTCCATAAATATTGATTCTGACATGATGAGAATATATTTTCCCCTTTTGATTATGTTTGGTCATTTCCTTAAAAATTAAAGATAAGGAAGAAAAAATTAAAGATAAGGGGCTGGTGCCTTAGCTCAGTGGTAGAGCATTTGCCTAGCAAATGCAAAGCCCTCGGATTCAGTCCCCAACACCATAAAAAAAAAGAAGACAAAATAAATAAAAAATGAAAGACAACCCATTTCTATTCTGTTGATTTTTCCCCCCAGTTCCTATCAAGGATACATGTCGACATATGGCACATTTGTGGTGATCTGTTTTGCACTGACTGTGATACAACCCAGGCCTTCACTATATACTGAGAACAAGCTCTACCTGTGAGCTATGTTCCTAGCCCCATTAATATGTTTTACCTGTTTCCCTTAAACTCAGTTTTACTTTCATTTGTTGAATTGGTTCTTGAGAAAGGTCTTAAGCCAAAAAGCTAGTGAGTTTTGAGTTTACTGTGGACTTGCCTGTAACAGTAGTCCCCGTTATCCACAAGGGACACCTTTCAAGGTGCTGCAAGGCAGACCTTTTATTTTATTTATTTATTTTTGGTACCGGGGATTGAACTTGGGTCCTTGTGCTTACAAGGCAGGGGGCAGAACCCCTGAGCTAAATCCCGGCCCTAGACCTTTTAATTTACTACGTCTTTTGTCTTGACTAAGGACTTACCACCAGGCACTGTAGCCATAACATTAGAAGTTTGAGATAATATCAGCAAAACTAGCATGACTTTCTTTTGAATTCTCCACAACTTCACACACAGATGATTTCTTTCTACCATAGATGTTAGTAACCTCAGCATTTTTTCCTTGCCTAAGTTCAGAGCTTTCAATTAAAGAAAGCAATTTATGGCTTCTCTTTGGTGTATCTGAATTTCTAGCATCAGTGTTCTCACATTTAGGGGCTATATTTTGTTCTTTCCCTTTGTTACCAGGAATCAAACTCAGGGACCTTGCACTTGCAAGGCAGGCACAGTGCCACTGAGCTAAATCCCTGGCCCCCATTAGGGGCTACTATTAAGTAAAACTAAAGTTATACCCCAGCACTGCAGTCAATACCAAGCAGTAGATCTAGTAACTGAGATGACTGTTGAGTGACTACAAGTGTATACAGTATGGTGGTGCTGGACAAAGGGCTGACTCGGGTTCTTACCAGGACGAAGTAGCAACATTTCATTGTCCTACTCGACTGGGCTCAGTTATGGGTTGGTTCGTCTAGAATTTTCCATTGAACATTTTCAGACCATAGTTGACTACAGGTAGCTTAAACTCCAAAGCAAAACTAGTGATAAGAGGGGATACTGTGTCTCTAGAAGATAGCTTTTTCCTCTTTCAACACAGGTAATTTTTGTCCTCTAGGAGAGCAGTTCACTTTGGTTGCTCTAAATGGTACTTGTATACAGGAATAAATGCTTTACTTTTTGCTGTAAAACAAATGACAGGAAAGATGGCAAAAGGGAAATCAGTTTCTGTGTCTCTTCTTTCAGGTTCTCTCAAGTAGTGCTGCTAGTAGTACCATCGCAGCACTGTCACCTGGAGGAGCACTTATGCAGGGAGGGACACAGCAAACCATAAACCGTAAGTGCAGGGCCACCTTCGAGTGCCAAAGTTGTACTGGCTTTAGTTTTGGGACAGTTCTGGGGTCTTCACTGAGCAGTCATTTTGTATGTGTGGTGCTAAGAGTTGAACCCAGGATCTCATGCATGCTAAATATGCACCGCAGTACCTTGAGCAGTCCTTTTGTAGAACAGATGTAGGAAAATAGCTTACCCTGTGGCCTCTTCCTTCTTCTGCAGAGATGGTGCCAAATGATATTCAGTCTGAATTGAAACACTTGTATGTGGCTGTTGGAGAACTACTTCGGCATTTCTGGTCCTGCTTTCCTGTTAATACACCATTCCTAGAAGAAAAGGTGGGAACCAGTTAATTCTAAGCACAGCTAGTTACTGTAGTAGTCACTAAGGTATTTTTAAATAGGAAAATATAATTGAGTGTTTACATGTGTCAGACTCTGGTGTAACCATTTTTCATACCTTGTTTCAGTTAAGCCTCAGTGTCCTTATGGAGAGTATTTTGATTATACTCGTTTCATAGGCTAAGAATCTGAGACCCAGACCAGTTCCATAACTAATCATACAAACCTACCTCCAAGAAACAATAAATTAAATAAACAAGCTCGTACAAATCACATGAAAAAAATCACATATATAAATTTTTTTTCCTGGTTCAATTTTCTGGTGAATGTATATTCACTACATTTCCTTTTTTTGTTTGGATGGTTGGTTTTTGGGTTTTGTTTTGTTTTTTTGGTACCAGAGATTGAACTTGGGACCTTGCACTTGCGAGGCAGCAGCGGCACCACTAAGCTAAATCTCCAGCCCTTCATTTTCCTTTCTACCTCCATAGTGAATGTATCATTTTCCCAAGAGGGTAAAAAAAAATTTTTTTTTTTTTTTGGTACTGGGTTTCGAACTCGGGTTCTTGTGCTTGCAAGGCAGGTAGTGGAACCACTGAGCTAAATCCCTAGCCCATAAATTAAAATTCTATTCAGCTGAAACATCACACATAGAATTCAAGCTTTATTGCCGGGTGTGTTGGCACACGCCTGTAATCCTAGCACTCTCAGGAGGCTGAGGCAGGAGGATTGCTGTGAGTTCGAGACCAGCCTGGGCTACATAGTGAGTTCCAGGTCAGTCTCAACTACATAGTGAGACTCTGTCTCCAAAAACAAAAATTTTTTTAAAAAAAAAAAAAAAAAAAAAAAAAAAAAAAAAAAAAAAAGAATTCAAGCTTTATTAATGATGAAATGAGAGCAGTGACCACGTCAGGTCGAGCTTCAGTTCCTATTGCATTACAGACACACAAACTGCCAGAGTAGGTTGTCTGTGTCTCTGAAGCAAACGTTCAGTGGTACTCAAAGACGAGAAATGCAGTAAACATTTATAGTCGGGGAAGAGAGAGAAGACATACACTTGGTGAAGTCCGTTGGGCAGATGGAACATGTTGTTTGAAGTTCCTCTGTTGTGTCAGGTCCTCCAGCACACTCTGTCGCCAGCCACAGGCCTTGTACATGAGCCTCTCGCTTTCCTTCATGGTGCCTTTGCTACACCTAAGTGGGCAGTGGCAATACGCCTTCTTTGCTTTCCCATTTCCGTGTCTCATGGAATGATTTTGATGCCCCAAAAAGAAGTGAAAATTTCTTGAATATTTTAGTGACAAATCTCAGAATCTTCCTTGCAATCTTTCTTTAAAATGTGGTACACCTGTTACATTTCTTAATCCAAAGAGCATCTCAGTCATCTCTCACAGATCTCTCACCTCCTTCCTACCCCATGAATTCTGCCTGCTCTGTTTTTCACTTAATTATGAGCAATAAATTTATTATTTTGGCCAGGCATGGTAGTGCATGCTTGTAATCCCAGCATTTGCAAAGCTGAAGCAGGAAGATTGCCACAAACTGGAGGACAGTCTGGGCAACACATACTGAGACCCTCTCTCAAAAAAATAGAATAATATTTTTTAAATAAAACTTTAGAGGATTACAAAAAAGTAGAAATACAAATTGTTCTGAGACAAAAAATAAAAGTTTTAAAGAATAACTGATTTGGTACATTTGTTAATGAAGCCCAAAATGAGGGCTGGGGACAGATAGCGCTAGCTATTTGCAACTCTCTTTTTAGTGCTTCACACTGAACTCTACATAGACAAGCACTCTACTGAGCTGTACATCCAGGCTCAATCCTTAACTGTTAAACACTAAAACCTTTGGAGAAAATTGGAGTTGAGAAGTAGAAAATTACTTAGAGCATTGATTTCACTTTAAAACAATTATTAAGAAAAAGATACAGAGCCAGTGTGTACCAGCACACCTGTAATCCAGCACACTGAGGTTGAGGCAGGATGATCATCACACAAGTTCAAGGTCAGCCTGAACCCCCAAATTGAGACTCTGTCCCAAAAAAACAAAAAGATACAAAGTAGCGGTATAGCTTAGTGACAGCATGTACTCGAACACATGCACAGCCCTGAGTTCAGTACTCTACACCCCCCAAAACACAAAAATAGAAAAATCCTCACTAAAAATGCTACATAGAGCTAGTTACTATTGCACATACTTATAATTCTTATAACTTATAACCTGCCTCACTTATAACCTGCCTCACTTATAACCTGCCTTGGAGGCAGGTTAAGTTTAAGGCAAGCATGGGCAATTAGCAAAACTGTCTCAAAGAATTTTAAAAGGTCTATGGGTGTAGCTCAGTAATAAAATGCTTGGTTGACATATACAAGGTCCTGAGTTCAGTCCCAAGTACCAGAGAAAGAGAAGATGTACTAGGGAACTGATTAAAGAATAGCTAGGCATGGTGGTACACTGGGGAGGCTGAGGCAGGAGGATTGCTGAGCTCAAGGTCAACCTGAACTGTATAGCAAGACCTTGTCTCAACACCCCCCCACCCCACCCCGGCACAAAGGGAAGAATAATGCTTCTACTGGGCATAATAGTGCACACTCCTAATCTCACCTCCTTGGGAGGCTGACACTGGGGGATCACAAGTTCAAGTCCAACCTGGGCAATTTTGAGACTGTCTCAAAAAAGGGCCGGGGGGCCGGGTGTGGTGGTGCATGTCTATAATCCCAGCACTTGGGAGGCAGAGGCAGGAGGATCACTGTGACCAGCCTGGGCTATGTAGTGAGTTCCAGGAACCACCCAAAAAAAGCTACCAGGTGAAGCTGAGGTAGGGTGATTACAAGCTGGAGGGAAGCATGTGCTACAAGGCCAGTCTGGATTATATAATGCCTTCTATCAAAACATGCACAAAGGAATTAGGGCTAGGGATTTTGCCTAGCAGCACTGCACCTGCCTTGCAAGTGCAAGGTCCTAAGTTTGATCCCTGGTACCAAAAAAAAAAAAAATGATTGTAAGTGGCCAGTATACTTAAGAGGGAATTTTCATATTTACTAGTACTTAAATGAAATAAGTCCTCAGCGAAAGAATATTTTTCACCTGTTAACAGAAAAAGTCAGTATGTTGAATTACTAAAAGTCCTTGTTTTCATTACATCATAGGACAGAAATTCAGCATTTAGAAATTTACACTGTGGAAATGATAACATATAAAATGTTTAGCCTCAGAAATGTTCCTCTACCAACGTGTAAGACAGAAAAGTTGGTTTGCCAGGCACAGTGTTGCACGCCTGTAATCCAAGCACTCAAGAGACTGAGGCAGGAATATTGCCATGAATTTGAAGCCAGCCTAGGTTACATAGAGAGTTCAAGGCTAGCCTGAACTACAAAGCAAGACCCTGTCTCAAAAAGAAAGATGATCTCTGAGTAGGAGATACAATAGATATATTTTTATTTTCTTCCTTTTGCATGTTTTAATTTTTTTCTGTAGCAGAATTCAACTATCATATAGAAGGTCGGTAATATTTATCTCTTGGTCCCTACAGGTTCTTTATGGCATTTTTTTTTCCTGCAGGTTCTTTGATATCTCTTTGTAATTCATTATTTTTCATCTTTTTTAGGTTGTGAAAATGAAAAGTAATTTGGAACGATTCCAAGTTACAAAGCTTTGCCCATTCCAGGAAAAAATTCGGAGACAGTATTTAAGCACAAATGTAAGGCAACAATCTGATTATGATTTTTTTTCTTTGCAGTAAAATGATGAGATTAATTTTGCTTTCCTATAAATGAGTAGATACTGTGTTCTTTACTGTTGCTCATTGCTGCTGTCTATTTTTTATTGTAAGGTGTCATGCATTCAGAAGAGTGTAGGGGCCGGGGACTTAGCTCAGAAAAAAAAATGGAAACAGAAAAGTGAAGAATACATGTTCTCATCAGTCAGGAAATGTAGTACAGTGTTACAGTAACTGAGGTATTCTGAGAGTTGCAGGCCACTACTAATCAGGCATTTGTAATAATCATCCGTTTTTCTTTATAGGTTTATAGTTTATACATGTATAGCTTAAAAAAAATTTTTTTTTGGTACAGGGGATCAAACTCATAACCTTGGGCTTGTAAGACAGGCACAGTACCACTGAGCTAAATCCCAAGCCTTATAGCTAAAAATTTGTATTATTAACTTGGCAAAACAGCATACATAAAGTTAGCACTGGAAGGAAAGGCAAATTCTTTACTAGCTCATGGTAAACTGAACAACAGTTCCTGGCTTCAGCTTCCTTGATGGGTTACAGCAGGGAGGATTGTTGAGGAGGAGAGAAGTGTCACTTTCACCTTTGTTGTTGTTTTCTGTTTTGTTTGGTACTGGGGATGGAACTCAGGTCCTTGGGCTTGGCATGGTGCCACTGGGCTAAATCCCCAGCCTTTAGCTTTATTTTGTTTGTTTATTTTGGGAGGCTTTTGTTTTGTTTTGGTACAAGGAATCAAATTTGGGTCCTTCCTTTACTTGCAAGGCAGGCAGCAGCACCACTGAGCTAAATCCCCCCAGCCCTTTAGCTTTGTTCTTAAAGCAAAACAAAAGCAACTACATAAAGCATTTTGTGTTAATGCAAATCCTTCGAGATAACATGAATGATAGCACATACAGATGTAACATCCACTATTTCAGTAACCAGTATAATCAGAAAGGGAGTTGTACAATTGAAAGGTTTTCAGTTGAAATGAGTTTTCTCATAACATAAAAGTGCATCACATAAGATCACAAGAATCTTGGCGTGTCTCCCACAACAGATTAAGGGTGACAAATAGGTTTCAAGTTTTGTACCTTCTCAGTTGATTATAACTGTCTGGAACAGTGTTGAAAAGGATTCTGAGGTCATGTGCAGCCTTACAGAAGGGTATGACATTCATCTACTTGGCACTCTAGCCAGACATGGGGACACAGGCCTGAAATTCCCACATTCTGTGAATCTGAGGCAGGAGGGTGGCAAGTTCAAGCCCAGCCTGTGCAGTCAGCAACTTCATGAGATCAAGCCTCAAAAAGAGGGGATTGAGGGCCAGGGATTTAGCTCAGTGGTTCCACCGCCTGCCTTGCAAGCACAAGGTCCCAAGTTCAATCCCCAGTACCAAAGAGGGGTGGGGTGGAGGTGTAAACTCAGTATAAAAGCCCTGGGTTCAATCCCTAGACCTGAAAAAACACTGTAAAAATAATTGGCACTCTCAAGCCCACTGTTACTAATCAAGCAGAATGATTAATTTTTATAGTTTCTAGACAGAGCTAAGTAACATACCCCTTGTCCCAATAATGATAATAGCCCCCCAAAGTAAGATAGTTTGGAGAGGCGTCCCTGAGGATCACACCCAGGGCCTCACACATGCCAGGCAAGTAAGTGTTCTACCACTAAGCTAGCCACACTACATGAGCACAGAGTCCCCCCCCCCAGTCTGTATTCAGGTCTAAGATGTTGAGGTGTTAAAAGAATTGCAGATAGCCCAATGTCCATCTCCATGCTCCCAAAATTGACTTAACAGACTTCACAAGCCTTTACTTTCACCTTGTAAACACTGCTAATCTGAAGAACCATTCCGAAGAATCCCGCCTCGACAGTCTGCTGGGTATGGTGGCGCATGCCTGTACTCCCAACAACTGGGGAGGCCGAGGCAGGAGGATCACAGTGATTTTGAAGCACCTGAGCCACATAGTGAGTTCAAGGCCAGGCTGAAATACATAACAATAACCTTCTCCAAGAAAAAAGAGTCATAGTGATCCTGTTGCATTTTGCTTATGTCCATGATGAGGGCAAAATCCTCCACCTATAGTCCTAGCCTAAGATGTGACATCACACGTTTTGTAAAACATTGAAACCACTTAGATTTTCTATAATCTGCTGAGTTACATTGCAGTCCTAATGTGCTGCAGCTAGAAAACACCTTTAAAAGCAGGGAAGTGCTTCTTAAAATAGTGCAGGAGCTTTTGAAAAGCAGTGATTCCTGAGGACTGAAGATGTCGCTCAGTGGTAGAGTGCGTGTTTCGTGTGCATGTGGCCCTGAGTTTAATCTTAACACTGCCAGGAAAAAGTTCCTGAGTTGCATCCCACCTTGCTGAGTCAGAATCCAGAGGGAGCAGGCACTTTTCAGATGTTCTGTACAGATAATACTGACACTGCCCTTCTGGCCTTGGCTGGCAGACCAGTGTACACCTTAGTTCAGCTCTTCGATTTGACAGAAGAAATGGGGGCCTACAGTAGTTACAGCTGTCACGTCGTTGCGTTGCTGTTAATGATAGAGTAGACTTGACAACCTAGACGGAACAGGTAAATTTCCAGCCTCTGCATCCCACTTGGTCCTTTTCCCGTGCAGAATGCGTCCAGTAAGACCTTTGCAGAGGGCTGGCATGCTGCCTCAGTGACTAGGGAAGCACTGAGGAGCTGTGACGATTTCCTCAGAGTGGGCCCAGGTTCGAGTCAGTGCCTGGTCGTTACGCGTCTTGCCATGTTTTGCAGTTGGTAAGTCATATAGAAGAGATGCTGCAGACGGCCTATAACAAGCTCCACTCATGGCAGTCACGGCGCATGATGAAGAAGACGTGAGGAGTCTATGGTGCTCACAGGTCTTGTGAGATTGTGAAAACTGTGACCTGCAGGGACTCTGGAAACCTGGCCTGACAAACATGCAGATGCTCACCAAGGAGTAATGACAAACATCTGCAGCGCACCACTCCCAGAGCTGATGTTATTGTACTTGCACATTGGGAACGAAAGGGAAGGAAGGGACCGTGCTTCAGCTAAGCTCTGGGGAGGTAAATTAAGGCAGAACCAAAATGAGCTGAGTTGCAAATATATATGTATATGTGCGTACATGTATATGTGTACATATATATGTATTTAAAGACTGTTTACTGCAGTTACTCAGGAACTGCTTTTGATTCACATTAAGCTGCTTTCAGAAATCTAAAAACACTTTTTTAAAGGGTGCGTTGATAAAATCTGAGTTTTTTTTGTTTTGTTTTTTTGTTTTTCAGTGTAAATTTTTTTCCTAAGTTTATGACACAGGGTAGTCCTTAAGTATTTCTCCTCCATCCTCCACTTGCATCCTAAAGTTTTCCCAAATTCTAGTTGTACACTTACTTCAGCAAATTAAAGAGAGTACTTTCAAGTGAAGCAGAGGGAGACTGTTGCTCAACCATCAGGAAACAGTTGTAGTCAGAAGGCATCATTTCGTCCTGTGTTTCCTACGGAAATAAAAACAGTAAATAATTGCACTGAATGTTTGTGGTTGGAGTCCCTAAGTAAAGGGGGAATATTTGCCGAAAGTCGAATGAGTTTTAATGCAGAATTTTGTCAGAAGACAATAGCACTGCATGTTTTTCTTTGAGTGCAAATGTATATTGCTAAGATTTTTTTTAAAGATGGCATGTGCTTTGAAAAGAGATTGCATTTTTAAGAGTTTAAAAATCTTACAAGTGAGAAATATAAAAAGACTTACTTATTTTCACCTCTTTAGAAAAAATAAAAGATGTTTCTCATATCTCCTTTTCTCCAGTATCTGACTGTTACTGTCCTTGGCGTATCGATAATCATTGCATAGTGACTTGAAAAGCCTAAATGCAAAAAATATATTTGTGTGTTCTCATTTCTGGAATTCGTGCCATATTTTGTTCCTATAGGATCAACTCACTGTTTACCTGAAACTTTAGATGCTTGTATTAAAAATTACACAGAAAGTAAAACTTTTTACAGATACTCTTTTAACTGGAACACATCTTGTGATTTCTCATGTGTGATAACTTCCTGGGTGGGCTGCTCAAGGACTACCCATTTTGGTTTTTTTTTACATGTTTGTAGTACATGAAGTTTACGTTCATCGTGGGGAATAGGTGTATATACAGAATGCAGTTAGTGTCTTTTTTTTTTTATTCCCCTCTCCTCCCTCCCTCCCCCTTTAAGTCTTCTTTCCCATTTTCATTCTTGCTGATTAATCTTAGCTCAAGTTCAGTACATACATTGAGGGTGTTTTTTTTGTTGTTGTTTTGTTTTTTGAGACAGGATCTTGCTCTGTAGTTCAGGCTGGACTTGACCTCACTTCTCACTTCATGGCCCAGGCTGGCAATGAACTTGTGGCAATCCTCCTACCTCAGCCTCCTGAGTGCTAGGGTTACAGATGTGTGCGCCACATTATATCCTTTCCTTTCAAAGCTATATTATAATCTGATTATCCTCAATTATAATGATAACAGGCCAAAACCGTTCAGGCTTTAAATTGGTGAGAGAAGCCACATAACCTTACACATTCACTTAAAGTCATTTTTGGGGGGGAGTGGGGACGGGGATGGAACTCAGGACCTTGTGCTTGCAAGGCAGGCAAGGTGCCACTTAGCTAAATCCCGGGCCCTTAAAATGCTTTTTAAATGTATTATTACCCCCCAAAAAGTATTACCCCCATTACTCTTTTTTTGTTTTTTGTTTTTTTTTTTTGGTACAGAGGATAGAACTCAGGTCCTTGCTCTTTCGAGGCAGGCAGTGGAACCACTGAGCTAAATCCCTGGCCCACCCCCATTACTCTTAACAGCAATGACATAAATAGAAAAAGCCTTTAAAATAAAGTAAGTCTAGAGCTGGGGATTTAGCTCTGGTTCTTTTACCTGACTTGCAAGCACAAGGTCCCATGTTCATTGCCTGGTATCTGTCTGTTGGGAAGAGCAGATGGTAATCAGATACAACACTGTGTTGAATGCTGTGTTAAACATTAAATGATACATATAATGAAATTAAGAAAAGACAGTTTTGGGAGATTTGGGTGGGTTCATTAAAAAGATAATATTTTGGGCCGAGGATTTAGCTCAGCGCCGCACGTGCTGTGCAAGCACAAGTTCCTGTGTTCAATCCCTGGTACCAAAATTATGTAAATGAAAGCTTCAAGGCAAATACCTGTAATTCCAGTGTTCGGGAGGCTAACAGGAGAACTGCAAGTTCCAGGCCAGTCTAGACTACAGAGGAAGATCCTGTCTCAAAATTTGGTCTGGTAGCCTGTTTGTGATAATTAACCTGAACAAGATTTTTAAAATCTGATGTTGGCAAAAATAAAACTTTGTAAGACGAGGCTGGAAATACAGCAAAGGCCCTGGGTGGATTCAGTGCATAGTAGGAGAAAAACATACCGTGACCTGGGCATGGTGGTACACACCTGTATTCCAAGCTACTCCGAGAACATGGCTGGAGGATTGCAAGTTCAAGCCTAGGCTAGGCAACTAAGCAAGACCCTGCCAAAAATATAAACAGGTTTAGTGGGGCCAGGGATTTAGCTCAGTAGCACCTTGCCTGCCTTTGCAAGGTCCTGAGTTCAATCCCCAGTACCAAAAAAAAAAAAAAAAAAAAAAAAAAAAAAAAAAAAAAAAAAACAAACAAAAAAAAAAAAA